AAATGAAAAAGCTATGGTAGAAATATATCAATATTATGTTGCAATTGTTTGATTAATAGCATTTGTCTTTTATTTGATATGATTGTGATTCAGAGTAATAAATGTTGGCTATAAATGAATGGGGTGTTTGTTCTCTGGTGTGGGTGCCCAGTTGAATTTATGGACTGAGGATTCAGCCACGATATATGCAGATTGGGATAGAGTGAATAGAGAAGAGTAGAAGCAATAATGGTGGTTTTGGCTTTGAGTGCATTCAGCCAAAAGGTTTAAGATGTTGGTCCCGTACGAGACAACGCCCTGTCCATACTCCCATACGTACACATTCAACACGGGTGCTGTTGCCATCGATCTGCACACCCTCATTAACTTCCCGTTTTGGATCTTTATGATCAATTACCAAACTTTTATCAATGAGTTATGTTCATCATCATTATTCATCTCCTATAACTTTTTATGCTCTCTGCAAACTTCCAATTCCTTTCTTTCCTTTCTCACTTCCTCTAACTGTCAAACAATAACTGCTTTGTGCTGTAACTATTACTTAAAAGTTCGTTTGGAAAATTTGCTAGAAATTTTATGATAATAGTTAGTAATTTTTTTAGTTTATTTTAATCATTTTTTCATTATTTTATCCCAGTGAACTTTATAACTAAGTTTATAATATAAATTATTATGTCAAATATTATTAAATAACATATATTTAAATGCATATTTGGCACGCATCTACTTGTGTGTTTCGAATACTGTAAACTGAAGTTCAAATCCGCAGTCTTATTCCATATGCTATTAGAAGTACGCGTTTAATAGGTGACAAACACAAAAGCTAACAAATGCATATAAATTTTAAAATAAATTATGTTGGTGTAAAATATAAAAGTTCATAAGTTGTTTCAATAATATATATATATATATATATATATATATATATTGTTAAAATATGTTTTTTAATTTATTCTATTAAATTTTATCACTAAACTTACAATATAAGTTACTATATTTGAAAAATAAACATTTAAGTTTGTTTAATATTCAAATGCACTTATAATAAACAGATTAAGGATCTTATATTAACAATATTTAATATATTGTTTAATTATTTTTAAAAAATAAGTATTGAATAAATTTGTATTCAAGATATAGAATTTTTTTTTCTTTTATTTCTTCAACTAAATGTTCGATTAACATTAATTACATGATAGAATATAGCTACTATTAAAATGACGAAACATTTTTGGTGGAGATAAATATGACGTAGTCAAAATTGTGAGACAGTTACCAAAGAGCCATTCAGGTCAAAACTAAAGTGCCAAAAAATAAATTCTCTCACATTTTTTGGCTGGTGGGGTTAGCCCAATACATGACGGAACCATAAAAGGGCTAGTGATTATACTTTTGGGCCAAGTTCGCCTCGGCAAAAATATCTTTAATCATTGTTCTATCAATGCATTTGAGCCTCGTGGCCTGTAGATAGTGTCGAGTCATCGATATAAATGTTTTAAGTTTCAAATTAAATTTGCTATTTGATAAAAAAAAATATATATTTTTTCCTTTTCCTTTAAATATATTTTTAACTTGTATAAAAATTATAAAATTTTCTTTTGGTTCTTTTGTATTTTTTTTTTACCTATCCTCACAAAATTTTAAAAAACCTTACTTTTTATTACCACAATTATTTGATAGTAAAAAACAACTTCATGTGATCTGATCACATTGTGGGCTTGTATAATCAACCTTAATATTACTTGTATTGTGTATATATGTGTGCGCTTTTTTTTAATATGCCTAAAATTGAGCGTGTGAGGGAAAGATCTAATAATGTTTATCAATAAAAGGTTCACACCTTCCAAAAATATAAAAATTTTCCAAAAAGTTCCCAAAACTCAATATATCGCCTATTTCTAAAATGTTACGAGCCGCAATGTTTTATTGATTTTGAATATATAAGAAAATTAAGCTAATCGAGTATTGTATTGAATTATTTCAGTGTTACTCATCTTCCACTTCCTTTTGGAATAGTGCATTGAAGATGTTCGAAACAATTGTATTATTTAAATACGTGAAAAAGTTAATACTATGTTAATTATTTTTTTATCTTTTATTTGTTGGATACATTTCTAAAATATATATATCTTAAAATTAAATGAAATATATTTTCATAATGTAATTTTATCATACATTTTTTTCGTTGTGAAAGAAGGACTAGTCTATTGAAATTAGTATTACTGGTAGATGTTAAACTAGTAACTAATAAAGTCGTTCATGGGTCGGGTAAACTTGACTAATCGGATCAACCCAATTAAATTTAAGTAAAATTTGACGGGTCAGATAATCGGGTCTTAAAAGGATAAATTTGATAATTTACAGGTTGAGGATCGGGTTTCTTTCTTGCATTATGATGAATTCGATTCAACTTAAGTACATATAATTTTTTTAAAATTATAATATTTATATTTTAACATTTAAATCTGTATTGTAATTAAATTTATTATAAAAAAAATCATTATTTAAACCTTAATCAATATCTTGTATATAAATATTGATAAATTATTTTAATTTAACTTGAAGAATGTTCAATTTTATAAATTATTATTAAATTATGTAAAAACCTTGTTACTCTTATTCAAATAAACTTGTTCATAATTGAGCTGGATTTAGCTAGAATCACGTGTATTTTACATAGAAGTATACATATTTTAAGCAGCAAAACTTTTATTTTGCTGTTCCCATAAAACTAGTTTTTCAAGCATTCGAAATATAATCACAATTTCATTATTAACTCTGATTTAATCATTAAGCAGTGAATCTAATATTGACATCATTAAAAAAATTATACAATTAATCTTTTACTGCCTTGTTATAAAAAATTAAAATTTCATAATCTTTATATCAAAGATCACAACTAATAATAATGTAAAAAAAAAAAGTGTAGATAATACATTAAAATTAAACTCTTAAACTATTCAAATTATTTGTATATTCGTTTTTTGAAATCTCATGTATGAACTAGTATGAAACTAGTTTTCTTTTTGTATCATTAATATAAAAGAAGTTTAAATATTTTGATTGTGGATTACTAAGTGTATCATTCAACTTACTACTAATTTTATAATTAAAAATATTAAATTTAAGCATTTGAATATATAAATGTAATGGTATAATATTTTCATTTATAATAATGATATTCATACAGATGTATACTTTTTTTTAGTTTTAATTGTTTGTTTCTTTTATGTTTTTGATATCATATCATCTATTTAACTAAGTGTATATAATGCATAATTCTCATTTATTTATTTATAATAATTGTACTTGATTAATTGAATATTGAATGTAGTATTTGAATGCCAACAATCATAAATAAAAAAATATACAAACATTTTAAATAGATTAAAATAACTAGTAAATTAATTTTTTTTAAAATAAATATACAACTTCACTCCTTTTTTTTTTAAGTAGATAGCATTTTATGCCTTTTATCTACAGGTACTCTTCCTCTTTTATTACTATACTTCTTTTTCCTTTCTCTTTTTATCTTTTCTCTCTTTTTTTATCATTAAAACCTTTTAATGCTTTTCGTACTCTTTTACTGATTTGGACTTTGGAGGGGTCAGTGGAACCCACTTTTTCAAACTACTGAAAATACAACGGTGCTTAAAAATGCTCCACTGTCTCAATCATTAAAATAAAAAAAAATATTGATAATAAGATAAATTGTTCTCTTTATTTATATCTTTAACATTTGTTTTGATAAAAACAAAAAAAAAATAAGATATATAATATAACAAAAAAATATTAAAAGTATTTGTCATTCAATATATAAATAAATAAAACTCATTTATTTTTAAATAACTTGTATCTCTTTATTTAAAAAAAATATTTAAATTTTCTTAAATTTAAAGAATAAGTTATTTCTAATTTATAATTAAAGTTTTATTATGTTTTTATACTGATTCTTTTTTTTTTTATATATATAAAAATTTACTATGATAATAAAAGTGTCTATACATATTACATACTTTTGTGAAATAGTACAGAAACTAATTTGAGCCGTTAATTCTGTTTTAAAAATTGTCATGTGGCCATCCAATGTAGAAACAAGCAGATTCAAAAGTGTTTGGGCAAAGTGTCCGTTTGTTTTTTCTTTAAAAATAAAATTTGATTTTAGACTGATGAATATAACTAAATACATACTTAAAATAATTATAATCATTAATATTATATTAAAGCTTCTATTATTGAAAGTGAAGCTGATTAAAATGTAAAGCAAATGGAAAACCAAGACAAGTCCAGGAATTCCTTTCCCGCATACTTGGAATTTGAGCCATTTGCTATACTTTTCCCCCCCTCTTAGTGTTTTTTTTTTCCTCCGGATTGTCTTAGTAGACATTTTAAACTTACAATAAAACATGAATTATAATGTGAAAACATGATTATAAAAATTATAAATAAAGGGCTATAATTCCAACCCCAAAAATGAGTCATATTTTAAATGATGGAGAGGGGGATAGCATTGGATCCAAATTATTTTCCAAGATTGATTTTAATATTTATTTTATTCTTGGTAGCCCCTCTAAGAAAATGAAAAGACCCTTACTTATACATACTACCTCTGTCATGTCTATATCTCCAACACATACAAATATGATGAATATTTGTAGAAAGAAAAGGGGATGTACGTGACACCCCGAAACAAGTGATGAAAATAACACAAACATTTGACAAATAAGAGGCTTGTTGGAGGGCACTCCATAAATTGGAACCCACCCCATCACAATCATTCTGGACTCTGGTAGGGCCCATGCCCCCCACCCTTTGGGCCTTTTTCCCAAATACTCAAACAATATCTCTCCCTCTCCCTCTCCCCTCTTGGGTTCTCTTCTCTTCTCTTTTGACTTGGACTTTCTCTCTCTTTCTCCCTCACGCACACAAACACACGCATATACACGCAAGAATCTGCGCTACTTCTGCAACAATAATACCATACCTTCCCTTCAACACCATCCCTCTCATTCTCATCGTCCTATCCTGTTGCTAACGTGCGCATTCCCACCTCGGCGATGGGCGTAATACGCCACCACCGTCGTCGCGAACAGCACTATCAATATCATTGGTTACCAACCTTCACCACCTTCACTTTTCTCTTGTTCTCTTCCACTTCAGCTATAGCTGCTCTCACATCACAACCCAGTAAGTACCCAAAACAAAAAGATAAAATAAAATCCACCCAATTTCGGTTACTTGTAGTTTTCAATTCAAATTCTAACTTTTCACGGTGGTTCTCTCTTCTTTCTTTTTTTTTTTGGTTTTGAGGTGGGGGAGCAGTGAAGCACCTTCACCGGGAAGAGAAGGAAAATGGGTTGGCGGCGGCTCCGTTGGACAGAGCGGTGGCGGATCAGAAGAGGTTTGGCGGACCTGGGTCGTCGCCGCCGTCGTGCAGATCCAAGTGCGGATGGTGCAGCCCTTGCCAACCGGTTCACGTTCCGGTTCAGCCGGGTTTAATCATACGGCTTGAGTACTACCCAGAAGCGTGGCGTTGCAAGTGTGGGAACAAGCTTTTTATGCCTTGACAAATAAATTAATATATAATTATGAATTATATAAATTATAAAAAAAATCCCAGTACAAAAGAAAAACACAAACGTTGCCAGAACCGAACAGCAAAACATTGCAGGCAGCAGTCATCTTAAAATTTCCCCTTTTGGGTTTTGTTTTTTTAATCTCAGTGTTAGTGCATTCGTGCATATAATGTTGCTGGTGTTGGGTTGTTTTTGTGGTGCTTTTCATGAGTACTATGTTTATAGTATGGATTTTTGGGGTTAACCTTTTGAGGCTGGAGGGACATGAAGGAAGGGAGCGTAAAGTTGACATGAAGGAAGGGACATGAGTAGCTTCACTTCAGAAAACACAGCAATATTCATCATTATTGTTGTCTTTATCTTCGTAATTGTAAAGTTGAAATCTTTCTCACATGGAGGGAAGGAGGGAGCATCATATTGAATGGAGGGTATGTGGGAAACTGTTGAGGCTGGGTTAAGTTATTGATCTGTTGTTTGTACTTGTTGAAGTTTATGCTACCTCACTGTTTCATGGTATATTAGGTATCTGAGTAGTATTCTTAATTTTTCTTTGTTTGTTTTTTTGTACTGTTGGGGAATTATTGTTACACGCATACATGATCTGTCTCATCGCTCTCACTACTGTTTCCTTCACCAAGATTTTTTTCCTATGCAGTAGATTACGTTTTTACTTATTTTCTGTCTTCTGCTCCACCGGGTGAATGTTTTATATATCCCCCTACTTTCATTTTCCATTAAATGTGCACATGCTAATAAGAGGTGTTTGCATCCTGTGCTGAAAGCTACGTTTGACACTGCTCAGTGATATTATGTTGTGAGAGAATGAAAATAACAAAAAGAAACACGTATATAGGGGTATTAATTTGTTTTTTTCATTAGAACGATCATGGAAGATAGTTAATTGTATTTTACTGGTATAAATTACCACTTTTCCTGTTATCTCATTCCCTTGTTTAAATTCCAATATTCATTTCCATACCTTATGAGGTGACTTAATATTTAACTTGAAGATATTTCTAACGTTACCTAGCTAGAATGAATATTTCACTCGTAACCCTATTTTTAGGTCTTCTATAGCTACATACATCAACTGGGAGTGGATTGGTGTCTTCTTTCTCTATTTGCTCATTGCTGATCGCAAGTTATAATTACTACTCAGTGTAACATTAATTACTCTTTCGAACAACTCATTAGTGTCCTAAATCTCAGTACTATTTTCACGACCTCAAAATTGAAATTTGATGTCAAAACTTTGAATTATAGCAGGAGATTTAATTTCATTTATCTAACCATATTATTTTAGCTTAGCTTTCTTTTTCTCTCAATGGTCCTTTACGTGACATCATGGAAGTAGAAAGTAGAAGCACGACAGAATTATGAATTACTTCGGCAGCATGATTCAAAATTGCGTAAGTATGACAACGCCATGCAAATTATGCATCTTCTATGGTAGGGTGAAGCGGAACTTTGCATAAACAAGTTGACGCATTGATTAATCATGCGCATCGAACGTGGGGAAATTAAAGTTGATGTCTCTTTTAAATGAAGCTAATGACTAAGATGTGTGTGATTTTTATTTTCCTAAATAAGAAGAAAAAATAATGGGCCAACAATTATGGATAGACAATAGTATTATTATTGTAGTGGATGACATGTGAGTGACGACTCATATCACTGATGATGTGCTCCAATTCCAAAGTAGAGAGACCTGTGCTTCCCCCCAAAAATGCAGTACACACACGAGGGGGTGAAAGCTCCTTTCTCTGCAATTGGGGTGAACAGAGATATACAGTTGCTTTGGCTAGCTACACTCTTGTCAGTGTTGCTTGTATCAAATGGGGTAAAAGTAAAAACTGGCAAAAGAAAGCCACCATTCACAAACACCCGCAACAAGCCACCACTGAGTCACCGAAACAGGTCCCTCTATTTCACAATGTTAGCCCTTCTTTGAAACCCTTCTTACTAGTTACTACTCCCAAAACGGCAATGTGCTACTTGGATGGACCAGTTCAATATTATAAACTACTCAAAATTAATATTATTTTTTGGATGGATAATTATTAACAAGTACACAAGTACATGATTAGAATTATTTTCGTTCACCTTACGAATTTTAATTTTTTAATGTGTTTATAATGTTATAATGATATTAAGTTATTAACATATTATTGACCCTTTTGTTTGTTCGAGATATGTCCCCATATATAACATTGTCTTTGATAACTAGCTGGCACAGATACACACAAATGTACAGCACAAGGAGTCTGCTTTTTCACGAGGCCTGGCAGCGTTGTTGTTTTTTATTTGTTTTTTTTCCTTCTCTTCCACTTATAATATGTCATAGTCCCACAGAAAAACATGTATATAGTAGTTTTATTTCACGGTTTGACAAGACAGATTGACAATGAGATGGGAATGGGTGAACCGGTGGCTCCAAATTGACATTCAAAATCCAAAGGTCTAGTCAGGATGCCCTTACAGCACACATGACAACACCCCACCTTCAACAAAGTTTGGTTAGGTTTCTGAAAAGAAGAAGGGAGATAATAGATTAAGAAGTGATGTATGATTTGACAGTATTGTTGTGGTTGCCGGTGAACTGGGAAAGCAAGACCCTTCATCACTTTGCCTCAAGACACTCACATCTTTATTCCCATCCATCAAAATCTTTCTTCTTTTTCCATACTATTCATCTGCTTCTGAGCTTTGACCGTGAAATGGTGCTGAGATTGAGCATGTACATTTGATATTTCACCTGCTTATCTTATTTCTAGGAAATTTTAATGTCGTTGCACTCTATGTTTGGTTTAAAATAGATAGTGCTTGTGCTGTGCCTTTTAATTTCTTTTTTCTTCAAATTTTCTTTTCTCTTTCCTATAATTGAGGCAGCGCTAGGCATTGCAGAGGTTAAGGACATAAGAATCATCAGCAACAGGTAAAGTGACCCTGGTTCTGAAAAATTCTTAGATAAACACCAATGGTAGGATTATGAGCAACTAATATAAAGTATTGGACACCAAAAAGATGATTTCTTTTAGAGATCAATGTCTGAAAGTTTAACAATGGAAAGGAAGTACTAGCGGAAAAGAAAAACATCGGAAGTGAGGCATGTTGTTGTACTTGATAAACAATGATTATCATGGCCCTAAAATCTAAATTATTGAATGGAAAATAGAAGTATACTTGCCCATAAAATGATGGTTTAGCGGTGCCTGGACCCATTACATATGGAAAGTATCAATTTCATCAACTCAACAGCATACCGTGTCTATGGAGTCTTGTTGATTCAACTTAACTCCAACGAAAGTTGAATGGAAGTCTCTTCTTTATATAATCTTTTTTTAAAACTTATTTTTCTCACCTATTTTTATCTTTTCAATGTCTTTATGCACACTTTTCTGCAGTCTCATGGTAGGGTAACACTTTTTACTTCTTATATTTGTTTCGAATAAATAAAAATTAAATAAGATAAAATTATAACATAAAAGTTGTTTAAAAAAAGATAACAGCATTTTTCGCCGCGATCCCACCGTTAAAAACTCGTCTTTAGGTAGTCAAGATTTTGCATGAAAAATAGTGTGTATATATATATATATATATATATATATATATATATATATATAATCTTAGTTAAATACCCACACTGTGATCAACTGATAAAGTTATTCTAAGTTAGTTGACTTGAATTACCGTAAACTATGTCAAATACTTGAAAAAGAAAGTTTCATGTTGTAGTAATCTTATATAACTTAACAGAATTATTTTTGGAAAAAAATACTTGTTATGTAGACTAGAAAATTATTTTATTTTATTTTATTGACATTGGTGAATATTGCTTATTTTAAAATTGTGTAAAATTTATAATTTATTTTTTTGGGATAAATTTTAATTTAACAATTAGATTTATGCTTTCTAATATCTTGGATGCCATTGAATTTTGGCCATGCACATGTTAATTTCACTGCTAAATTGTCTGTTAATCGGTTGATTCTCATAGTCGATGTTTTTATGGTGTGCAATAGGCAGGTTTCATCGTGATGGGATGCCAAAAGTAGCGTGAAAACTCATTGATCACTTACCATTATATTGTAAAAACGTTTGGTGCTTTTAAAGAGAGTTAAATTGTTCAACCAAAGACACAAGCAATAATTTGATGGCAAACAAACTTGCGCTATTTGTTTGAACTCGCATGGCAACATTTTATTCACGTTCATACAACTCGATCAATCCTTTACATAGGTGTTGGTGAAGAAGATAACTACATGTTTAGTTTTTTCTGACTTTACTAACTGTTAACATAGGATACGAATTTAATGGCAATTTTTAACATGAAATATCGATTTCGGTGTGCATTGGGTATCTCTGACACAGACTGAAACATCACATTGCACCCACTCCTTTTGTTTATAGTAGCGCTTGTCAGTTGCCATTAAATTTTAAAAAAGAAAACGAAGAAAGAGATGAAACGGACGAATTAAAACCAAAGTAGTGTAGCCAAATACACGTCAATGGGAAGAAAAAAGTTCAATCTGTGAGAAAATTCGCCACAAGAATAAGATCATAGATAATTAACTGTGTTTAAATGGACCGATAAAGATAAAATAAATTATATTAATATTACTCAAAATATCAATAGAAGTTACTTGAAATAGCAAGCAGTTTGTTATTATTTAGGTAAAGTGTTGAATTCGAATATAAAAAATCTTTAACAGTAGACTTACCTATTATATGTAACTTAAGTTAAATTCAGATTAAATAAAATTATTATTTTAATAAGATGTAATGGAAATAATTTTTAAAATACAAATCTTAAAATAAAATTATTGTTCTAATAAGATGTAATGGATATTATAATTGTATGGGAATTAATTGGCATAATAATTTCATATTTTACTTAGATCAAGACGCAGTTACATGATAATTTTGTAAATAAAAACTATATAACGTATAAAAGTTCAGTTTAGATTGTATTGATTTATTTTTAAAAAAAA